TGCTTAACGTAGATAGTGTTGAGTTGAGGGCTTCGTCCAATTCAGCAGAAAATTTCTGCATAGTTGCTAAAAGCTTTGCTGTGCCGGTCTTCATCGTGTTCATGATGCCTTCTCTGATAGGGAAAAATTAAAGTAATGAAAAAATATATTTGTAAAGGTGCATTTTAACTACCCCAGTCAATAAAGTCATAAGACATAAGATGTTCTCGTGTTTCCGTTTTTCACGTGATCGCGACTGTGAACCAAAAGACTCTCTTGCGTGAACAGAGTAGAAAGATACCTCATGCACACACATAAAATTGGCATTAGGATCCAACTTCTAGTGGATCAAATCTTCCCTGACCCAATTATCTTCACGTGATCACCTCATGGGCCTCTTTTTTATTGTTTACCGTGAAAGCTGCTTGCCTTTGCCCAATGATTTTTAAAAATCACCAATCCGCGACACAGCTGCGTTGCTGAAGAGCACGTGCAAAATAAGTTGTAAACGCGTGCCACATTCAACATTGTGTGAGAATTTGCCCACGCTTTTAAAAGATGAAGTTTTATTTTTGAACTTTTTTTTCTTTGGTTATAGCTGAGACTATGCCAGCGCAATGTCAATTTATACCCCGCAGTATGAGAGACCTGCAAAGTAGATGTATCCGTGGTTAGGCGCCTTCTTGCAAGAGCGTGATATTTAAAAACCCTTCAACGCCTAAGCTCTGATGAGCAATTCTCCTCTCTGGCTGCAATACATTTTATTATACATTAGTTAGGAGAATTTGGGGTTATATCAATATGGCATCAACTGGCTGATAAATTTGCCTATTCTTATCTCTCATCACCTATAGATGTATTAGGTATAATAAGAAATTACATGTCAATGATCAATCTCCTTACTGACCGTACATGAATGATACAAATACGATTAAGAGCTTACAGATAAATAAAGATTGGGAATAGAAATTAATGGCAAACAATCACTGGCATAGCTTGCAAAGTATATTTATGAACTTTTCTAATTAACTCTCCCCGATTTTTTTCAAAGGGAGGGGGCTTTTTTACACAGGCTAACTGAACGGGCGTTACTATGTATAAACTGGTTAAACAATAAAAATTGAATGAATCAAAAAATGTTTGTTGAGCATTTATTGCGGAGGAAAAAAATGTCAATAGAATTTTTTGTGGTGTTTGCGGATATATTTATCTAAAGTTATTTATGGTTGTTTTAAGCAAACTTGCCTATTATCTTCGTTAAGTTATCTTACTATTCGACTGTTCTCGTAGTTTTTACTTGTAAGTTTAATATGTGTTTCCCGAGGTATTTTCTTCTAACGTGAATGTATTCGGCGAGACACAGACGAACTAACACTTCTTTTCATACAAAATGTTGAAAGGCTTTCGCGAAGATAACGAAGCCTTGTTTCTGTTGCTAAGTTTAATAGTTTTGACCCAAACTTAACCCTTCATAACTGCTTTCCAGGAATTAACTACCTTATTTATTTGTAACCCTCTTCGTTGTATTTCATTCAGTTTTGAACCGAACTCACGGCAGTTTTTACTTTAATTAGAAATATTCAGGGGCACCCAACGAGAATGGGACGGCAACCTGTACCGTACAAGGTCTAAAAGGTTGGATCGGACTGGTCGGTGCCGGAGATGAGCCAGTATGTGTTACTGATACAACGGTCAAGGCTCTCTGACAAACCCTAATTCGGAGGGGCTTATCGGAGGGGCTTATCTACGGAGTGAAATTTGCGTTTCAAATCGATTGGGCTAGCTTTATAGTTGGAAGTAAATTTACCGTTTTTGCTTTGTTTTACTTTGTATTTGAGGGCAATTTTCCAAGTACAAGCCCCCGGGGGGCTTATATTTGGAGCCGGGCGATTTAACAGAGGGTTTTTGCGTTATCGGTTTGGGGGGCTTATATTTGGAGGGGCTTTTACATAGAGGGGCTTATTTTCGGAATTTTACGGTATAAGTGAAACGTTGAGCCAAACCTGAGCCAAACCTGAGCCAAACCTGAGCCAAACTGAGACGAACTTCTGGGGTAAAAAACAAACAGTCCGCGCTGTTTCTAGTGTTTCGAAAGTGCTCCTGAACGCAGTCGGCGTTAAGCTTAATTCCTCAGTGTAAAACTGCCGAAGGCGACTTTTCTTTACGGTATCTGACAGCATTCAAACGCAACAAGAATGGATATCGATGAAGTTGATATTAATGGCTCTGTTAGATCGTTGGTTGGTTTAAACTGACATTAAAATAGAAAATAAACTTACAAAATGTAAAACTGCTACAAAGCGACAAAATAAACCGAAAATGAAACTAAAACACGGACTGAGACTTACATTGTGTAGCACTGTAAACCATGAAGAAGGAAAACTCTGCCGATGGAGGAAAAAAAATGCACGATGTGTACTCCACCAGCTGAAACTTTAAAAGTGACTAAATAATTCTTGAACTTAAACTTAACTAAAAAATCAAAGATGCAAATCAGAACGAACTACTTTTCCCGATGGCGCCTGATTACAGTTGGCTATTGTTCTTGGGTGTTAGATACAACACCTCAGGTTTGGCTATCTGCGTTCCTTTTGGGTATCCCAGTATTGGTGGATGGCGGGGGTGGGGGGGGGAAGGAGGCTTCAGTTTGAACGGTACAGGGCAGAGTCCTGTACGGGGACATGGCTCGGGGAATCAGAACAGACACCCAACCAATTCTGTAGTGATTTACATAATGATTGCGTGAAAGATATTTGAATTGAATGGTGTCATCGACATACTGTAGCCTGATGATGGCGTCCATTAACGATACCTGTAAAGCTTTAATTGAGGCCCATCTCAAGTAAACGCTTCTTGGCTAATTAGTGCCCCCTACGGTATGTTAACTTTGAATTGGACGGCCCCTCTCTAATAAACGCCCATCTCTAATACTTCCCCCCACTCCCACCCATAAAAATTACTCCAAATGCTAGAAAAAAGCGCATAAAAGGAGCAAAATCATTCAATGATCTTCAATTTAGTCAGTTTCTTGCTTGATTAAAGGTTTGTACATTGAATCTTGGTCAATATCAAGTTTAAAGAAAGGATAGGCTAACGATGACAGTGCAATCGTCCTGAACGAAGATTCTGACATCGACGATAAAATATAAAACAGAGAAAAAGCCGATTATAGCGTGCAAAGCGAGGCGCGAGACATCGCGCGAGCGAGCGGAGAAGCACTCTTATCTCCTTTTGTGTGTGGCTCTCGCGTGAATTCTCTCGACTCTCTTAAATGGAGAGCTTGCTTGCAATATATGAGGGATTAGACGTGTCAATGTTTAGACTGGATATTTTGCTATTGAGGAACTTAATTGATATTTCTGGTAGAGATGTTAGACATCGTAGTTTTTTTTGAGCTTGCTACAGTTAAGAGAAAAAAACAGGCAAAAAAGGCGTTAGTTTTTCGCGCTTTTCAGGCGCCTGAATGCAAGCTCGAAGTGAACGAGGAGCGCGAGACAAGTGCATTTTTTCCCGTCGCGCGTGTCTCGCGCTCTACACCCGCTCTGTGCTTCTTTCGCCTGAAAAGCGCGAAAAATCGCCGTTCTACAGGCTAGAGAATAAACATCTGTCTCTCTAGTTTTAAAAAGCTTCCTATCGAAAAAAACACCCCTTCTTGGATCATTGAAATTAAATCTAAACTCCCTGTTTGTCTCTTAGATCATTTAAGGTAGCCAAAAATATTAGAGAAGAAGGAGCGTCCAGCCTCTTTTTCAATCTCCTTCGATTCGTAGCCGCTAGGGCTATAGTCACGCAATGCTCCCTGCCACCAGGCGTGGGGGCGGGGAGCTTGCGCGACTCCGGCTCGAGCAGCTGTGAAAGAGACCACGCCGGGGGTCGAACCCCAAAATAAACTTATTCAACTCTATTGAGTGTCAAACAAAAATAATAATAATATCAATCGGCTGGACTTGCGGTTAAGAAAGTACTACCGCAACGGGTCTTTTCTAAACAAAAAGAGGCTTCATTACACTTTCAACCTTTATTTACATATCATCATAGAAAGGAGCCGTTAACTGGGTTAAGAAGTACCAGTTTTGGCTTCTTACAGTAAATTAATTTTAAATACATGTATGTGATCAACTGGCAAAGCTTTTGATGTAGCAGATTGTAACTAACCCTATTTTGCTAAAGTCAAACTAAACTGGGGTCGAAATAGTCGTATCCTTTCAGTAAGATATAACTGCTATATGAGACCGTATCTTCTGCTTTGTTGAAGAAGGAGAGGAGTTAAAAAAGATTTAAAGGTTATATCAGACCAGATCGACTATGAGCAATGTCTCAACGCCCTGCCTCGTCATTCTGTTTGTCGATGTTCGTTTTTGTTATCTCTCTTAACACTTCAAGCGCTACCCACAAGAAAACTGAGAGGCAGCCAGCGTAAACGTAGGCTCATATGCCACGCGCAATACTCACGATCTTTCTTCTCGATCGAACATTCTCATGGTAGGCCGGGGTGATATATATGTCTATATGGAGCAACAGAGTTTAAGGCGACCCAAGCGGAGTTAAAACACTGTTGAAATACCGGACATCAGATCGCAAAAACTGGTTCCGCTCAATTATATGAACTGTGAGCTATTAATTTTAGCGGGAAGTGCGTAACCTTCTTAAGTATGCGATGATATTTTCACGGTGCCCCCTTCAAAGACACATTGACAGAAGTGAAAGATGTTCTCAAAAAAACAAGTCAAACCTGTAAAACGGGGTTGCACGCAGAAAAATAATATATGAGAAAACAAATCTCAGATAAAAATTATCAGTGAAAGCTGTTTAAAAAAAAGGTCTTTCAGAAAGTAATACAAACAAGTTATCGCCTATAAAATCTAAATTATCTGAATCTTGCTTTCTCTCAACTTTTCCTTTGAGAATATTAGGCGAAAAATACTAGATTGCTTGTTAGTTTTAGGGTCATAGCGACCTAATTCTAATAGCAAACAAAAGTTGTAATTGAATCATGGAGTATAAAAATTATCCGGTTTAGCTTAGACTGGAGTTTCTAATGTAAATTTGCTGTTGGCAAATTGCACAGCACTGACATATCCCTTTCTTCTCTTTCCTTTTCCGCATGCCTCCCCGGAAATCTCAACAACTTCATTATTTTCATGAAAAATCTGATGATCGTGATCGTTTTCGTGCTCTTTTCCTACTTGGGTTGAATGTGATTTTATCGCGGGGCAATCTGTTGTGTCTAACATCTCCACAGGACTACACGATCGGCTGAATTCGTCCACCCCGTCTTGTGATAAGGATCGAGAACGGCTGACGTTCAATACTGGCAATTGTTTGGATCTCCAGCATGATAAACTGGCTCCTAGATTTATAAGAATATCATCATTCAATGCTTTTCCTTCCCCAATAGCGCAAAGTCCTAAGTATTCTAATGTCTTGATTCTTGCAATCCTGGGCAGGGCATACTTTAGTCCCTTCGGGGTGACCATCGGGCACCACCCTAAATCAAGGTGTTTCAAACAAGAATTACGCCAAGAGATTTCGGCAAGCGTTTCGTCCTCTAAGCTGATCCCGTCTAAGATGAGCGTCGTGAGATTCGTACAGGAATCCAAAATATCGTCAACGAAAGTCCCACTGAGGAAGCAACATTTTCGAACACTGAGTACTTCCAATTTCTTGCAGCGAGCAAACAAAGCCAAGGTGCTGTCTTTGAGCAACAAGCAGTGACTAACGTCAAGTTTACGCAAATGTTTCATGCTGTCGATAGCTTCCTCCATTTTTCCCTGTGCTAGAAGATTTTGAAAAAAGGCGTCGGAAAGACCTAGCCATTTGACTTTACTGAGAACTTTTCCAATCGCGCGGTACACGCGCGGGTTGCCATGCGAGAATCGGATGTCAAGACATTCGAGGTCACGAGGGAAAAGCACATCCTCTTGGCTGTGAATTTTTTTGTGATCTACAGCAAAGGTCACGCTCTTCAATTTCAACTGACGCAATTTTTTACAATAGGTTGCGAGAACTCGTAGAGAATCCTCTGTCAGTAAAAACCCACTTAAATCCAGACATCGTGTTTTATTAGCAAGTCGGTTGACAGCCAGTGCTTGAAACTTTTCCGAGTCGACCAGAGATGTGGAAAATCTCCTTAAATCAGTTGTCTTCCATAACAGTAAGTCATAGGACAGTTTCTGCCATAAGCTACACACTCGACAAGCACGGAGCAAGTCCTCAGTGGACAAGAAACTAAAGATTTTTAAGAGAGTTCCTTCGTCCAGGTTAAAAATCGGCGCAACCACCGCTGAATGCTTGGATTCCCTAAAAAAGCCAGTAAACACAGTGAGTGCAGCGTTCAGGACCACTTCCATTTTAAGAGGAAACTGGACATCAGCGATGAGCATGGTTCTACCAGTCCTGATGTATTTTGAGATGTGATCTTGGTGACTGGCACAAGTTTCTGAAGAAAGATTCTTACTGCATACGTGTTTTTTTTTACTCGTAATCCGATGAACAGTGCTCATGCTGCCTGAACATTGATTGATATGAGGCTCTCAGGGTCTAGGATTTCCTTCCCTGCACGTGAACAGTTGATACCTCACACGACTTCGTAAACACATCAAAAATTGTGTATGCATTTCCAAGAGGTATTCAGTCGGTTGGACACATTATGGAACATCGACTTCTTAGAAGCAAACTATCCATTATTTAGAAGGGCATTTGCTTTTCTGAGAATAATATTAATAATATAAGAATAAAATACTGGACATATTAGGGTTTTATTTTACAGCCGGTTACGATCGAAATTGAATAACCTCTGAGTCTTCAAAACAGAAGCCAAGATTGCTACCACGTGTACAACGGCAAGTACAGTAAGAGCTCGTGTGTGTGATAGAGAAAGCCGGCGAACACAAAATGCGAAAAGGGTAATCACAATCAACATGGAAAAAAACTCTTATATATGAATCATGCGCTTCACTGTTTGACTCTATTTGTTGTCTTTAGCTTTTTCTGTATCGTGCCTTACTATTTTCGTAAGCATTTCATTGTTTTCAAAATAAACACGCCGAGATGGGACATTGAACTGTGGAGAAAATTGGAGGAGCTCGCAATTCAAGATGTGCGTTTGACCTTTTCATCCGGTCAAAGTGAACGTTCTAGTTTCGCGGTTTACATCGAGAGGAAAATTCTCATATCTGGCCCAAAATTGGATCAGCTGAACAGGCTTTTTCAAGACGTCCGCTGTCAGCAATAAAAAGACAACGACTTCGAGAACAAAAACAGAAACATCAAAATCCACCAAAATACTGGATCTAAAAAGGAGGCGCTCCCCATTAACTCAGCTGGGAAACGCTATTTACAAACGGTCCGGCGGGCTAATAAATTTTACAGTAGATAACAAAAAGTAACTACGTTTTTGAAAGTAGAAAAGTGAAAAGTGAAGTCTGACTCAAGTTGTCTGCAACCTGAGAATGAACCAAAAACGTTCAGAACGTTAGGAATATGCCGTGGCTTACACGGATAGGGGAAGGAGTACTTGACTAGACAAGGGGTTTAGACTCTGAACTTTGTTTAAGACAAAATCTTCTCATAATGCTTCTATATTAGGCAACACCTCCTCTTATATTATGTAATTCTGTTTTAAAGATCAGAATTACCTTTCGCTGCGTAGAAAAAAAAAATGCTTTGCTTGTTTTTTTCAAAGAACTCCCGAAGAACTGCAAACGAACCTTAGGAACGCACAGACGCCTGACTGCATGAGTTTATTCCAGTCAAGAGCCATTATTGCTCTTGTTCCAGTGAATGAACTCCAAAAAGACACCCTGTTAATTGTTTTACTATCATGGTTTAAGACGCCAAGTAGTAAATATGTACCCGGCCTGTTGAAGAACCCTGTTAGCGGCACGCGTTCTTTAAGCTAAAAGGAGAGTTCCGTCCCCCCGTATTCCCACATCGCGAGTCACACGATCCCTATTAACTAAAGATTTTAAGGTCAAACGGTTTCGTAGGCATGGAATTTTGGTTGTAGACTAGTGTATAATTCGCAGATGTGGAGTTTTTGGCTGAAGCGATATTATCAACATTTTATTCGTTATTAATCTGGACAAAAGAGAAGAAAATTACAATAACTAACAGATTCAAACTGTTTAAACGAAAACACCTATATTCTAAGTGAATACATAAATCGACATAAACTGCCTGAGTTCTAGGGAGAGCGAAGATAAAAACCGTCAAAGCGTCGACTCTCCAGCTGTTCCCTGAAAAATGACAAACATATTTTGAAAATAGTTAGATAATAAGCCAAAATCAAAAGACTGGAAGGGCCAGTCATTCCCTATTGCTTAAAGCAGCAGAGGATGAAGTGGAAGAGTTTTTTTAAACAGTTTGTGCCCCTTTTTCGGTGTTTGAAAGAATTTTCTTGTACTCTCTGTGTGTTTCCCGTACTGCTTAATCCGGCCTTCTGCAGAGTTATCCGTGATTCCGTGCAGGAAACTCCTCTGCAAGACACGGATTGTTATACTTCGCACTTGATCTAATGTTGTTTCATGCCTGCCGCGGGAAGGGATTATACTTTAAGTAGGTAAAACTCACGATGGTTGTCAAAAGAGCTCCAAACCCCGGCTTTACCTAGTACCAGTTTTAAACAAAATTATATAACTTCCATGCCTTAGATCAAAGATCCTTTACCGTTCGTAGATAAAGCCTATTTCGAAGGCGGGGGGAGGGGGAAGGGGGTTCGAAAAATATGGAGAGTTATTATCTCATGTCATTGTATATGTCCTTGCCTACCCTCTTCTATAATGAACGCTCCCTTGGATTCGAGACATTTTTTAATTTCAACACCTATTTTATAATAATATAATCTTACACTTTTTTCTGTATGGACATTGCTACCAATCTTGCTATTCTTTACGTTTGGTAATGACCTAACCTGCGAGCAAAGGCCCTTCGAAATTTCGTGTTTTGTATCGCTCATTTTTTCGTATAAATTATCCGTTTCCTTGTAAATGGATCAGTCATTAGGTTTGTATCTTCGAGAAACGTTAAAAGACTCTCTTCTAAGTGAAAATACCTAAATACCTATCTTGCAGTTTCCCTTACGGTACCCTTTTCTATAAATCAAATAGTGGAATCACCACCCTTTATATGCCTCTCGATACCACTCTCCTGAAAAAAGCTACCTCTTTCGGGTCGTTCAATTCTCGCGGGTTCCATTACATGGAGTCAACCTCAGTTAAATTTCTGCGATGAAAGACAGAAGGTCTGAAATGTTTTCCATCTGGCTCACACGTCTAGTTAACTCTTTCCGCTCGTTCGACCAAGTGAAGGCGGGGTGATTTTTTCTCTCTATCTTTCTATGATGTTACCATCTAAATGAAAACTCTTTGGCAGAACTTTTCAATAGTATACTTTTCAAATCATAGGATTTTACAAAAAGAAATTTGAAATTTTTTTGTGAATTTTTTAATTTGACCACTATTAGGACCGAGCAAAAGGGTTACCTTGGCCAAGAACACGCGATGTCTGCCATTAAAAGGAAATCACGTGCAAAGTTTATTACATAACCGTTAGAGAAAAGGAATTAATTAAATTAAAATTTTAAAACTAAGAGAAGTTAAGAGGAAGTACGTTCGGGAAGTAAGCTCACGTAATGAAAATTGCGTTGGCGGTCCCCAGCATGAACATGACCAAGCAAAAATCGACATGGACTGTAATAATGCGAAGAAAATAATGCCAAGAGCAGCGGAAATCCTGGAAATATTCATGAGAAATTCAGACGGGAGCGTGCTGCGTATGTTATGAAACCTTTCCTCTATTTCAGAACAAAATATGTGAGGGTGCTCTCCTGATCCTACCCCTCCATCCCTGTCGCTGAACGGCTGTTCTTAAGAGACGAATTATCAAAAGCAAACCCAATCCAAAAAGCGCAAAAACGTACCCTATTTCAGACCTGTAAAATATCTGTACTAGACCCAAAACCAGACTCATGGGGACTCTCTGCGCCGCATATGCCTATACACCGGCGGTTTATCTAAAGGAACACCCCCCCAGAAGGGCCAAGGCACAATTGCCCATTCCTGAAAAAAAAAAAAGTAAGCGTGCGCGTGCACGTGCATGAAGCCCGATACGAAGGAAAGTAAAAGGTTAACCTCCATTTTTTTCTGTACACGTGCGACGTCAGGCGAGTAAGGGGTTTACCCATTTTTTTTCCTTTTTCTTTCGTTGCACGTGCTGGCAACCCGATACATACATATGGCTTGTATTTTGTTGTAAACAAGTTATTTTTGAACTGTTCCTGAATTGCTAAAGACCCTTTCGTTATTTAGGTTTTCGCAGGTTTTCGTGCTCTTGCAACAAGCAAATTGCCATTGTAGTATCCTCAGCTATTTGGCGAGTAAATATTTCTGATCAATCTCTTTTTTAAACTGTGTGTTCGTTTGATAGGAGCAAAGGAAATGTAAGCATTCAAGTATGCTTAATCCACCGGAAATTCATCTTTGTAACCAGCGATTGCCCCCCAATGCAATACGTGACCACGAAATGCGAGCGCGGAGCTCTGGTCACACGAGGCCGATGGATTCGCGTGTCTTTTCACTGGAATCCATGAACTCACTCGTCTCGTTACTCCTGTTTCGCGGTTGTTAGAGCACGGTAAATTTGTATTAGCCCTTTCTTGGTAACAAAGATGTCATTTTAAAAATCCTTCTGAATTAAAAGTCTAGTACGTGAAAGTATGTAAATAAAATTTCCTGACTAAAATAGCCTAATTTTGTCTTACGCGCGTGCGCTTGTCATGTCTATGTCAATAGCGGTAAAATAAAAAAAAGGATAAAATTTTAGCAATAATTCATTGTTCCATCAGTTTTTTTTACGATGTAGTTCTGACTTGGATAGCGAAATTTCGACTAGCTTGTCCGCAGACCTTTTGTTTGTTTGTTTGTTTGTTTTTTTTGCGCTGACGGTCAATAAATCGCCCGCGGTTTTTAATTTTCATAAGCGTGACTGTCCACGATGTCTGAAGGGAAAATGTAGGATCTGCGACCATTTACGCACAGTTGCTGGGGGTCTTCAATAGACATCCTGTCCTTCGACTGGACAAATATCCACTTACTAACGTGCAACTGTTTTTTTATTATAAACAGAGGGCATAAACAATATGGAGATAAAACTCTTACTATGTTACTCTAACACTGCGAGCAGTCTCTCTTTTTCCTCAGATTTACTGAGGGGAGAGCACGCGCGCGAGAGCAGAAACGCGAGAAACGAGGGCGCGAGGTCATTTGCGTGTCTCGCGCGTTTTGCTAGACGGACCAAGAAAAAGAGAGACTGCTCGTGGTCTATGTTACTCTAAGAATTACCATTGTCAACCAATCAAAACAATTCATTTTCATTTTACTTGCGGGTAATATTACTAGCAAGGTAAAAACATATGCTCTTTAGATCT